AGCCTGCTTCTCCCTCTCCCACTCCCCCTGCTTGTGTTCCCTCTCTCGCTGTGTCTCTCTCTGTCAAATAAATAAACAAAATCTTTAAAAAATAAAAATAAAAAGATCTGGAGGGATAGATCGAAGTGCTCACCCCTGTGATGGCTCCCCTCTGTGTGAGTTTTTTCTATAGGAATCCCTTGCATGGCGGTTTTCATTCTCTGATTCTTCGAACATGGAGACACTGTCATCATCATCATCATCCTCATCATCATCAGAAAAGGAGCTATGGTCCAACAGGAGGCAGAGATGAATTAGATCAATGTTTTAAACCATTATGAAGGAATAACATTTCTCATTAGGAGGACCATTGCTTCATCTTCTCTCCTTCCCTCTCAAACTAACATATAACCCTTTTTAATTAGAGTGAAATGAGAATTTTCAGAATACATGGAATTAGATAAGGTATATGCACATTCAATAAAATGCATGTAATTAAGAAACTACTGTCTAGGTCTTCCATATTTCTTTTATTTGATTCATTGATTAATGTGAATATTTATCAAATAGAAAGTATGAATCTGTGCTTTAGATCACAGTATACATTTGTATGAACAAACCTGTAATAACATTTCTTCCCACAAAAAATAAATTCAACCACATTTATGCACATTCTATTCATTTATAAGGTAACCATTTTATTTTATTTATTTTACTTAAGAGCAATTAATTAACATACAATATATTATTAGTTTCAGAGGTAGAGGTCAGTGATTCCTCAGTCTTATATAATACCCAGTGCTCATTACATCACGCACCCTCAATGTCCATCACCCAGTTACCCCATTCCCCCCCACCTCTCCTCCAGCAACCCTCAATTTGTTTCCTATAGTTAAGAGTCTCTTATCATTTGCTTCCCTCTCTGATTTCATCTTATTTTATTTTTCCCTCCCTTCCCTTATGTTCACCTGTTCTGTTTCATAAATTCCACGTATGAGTGAAATCATATGATAATTGTCTTTCTCTGATTGACTTACATCGCTTAGTATAATACAGGGTAACCACTTTAAATTATACTTTTAAAACATTTAGCATTTCACACTTTGTATTGTTTTCACATTCATCTATGGCAATGCTATCTCTGCAGATTTGAAATGTCCCATAAGAAAAGGCCTTGCCAATGATTAAGGAACTATATGGCGGAAGTGCTTCTAAATAATGACCACAATAATATCTATGTTCATTTGTGAGACAAGTTATGCTGTTCCAGAGTATAAATAAATTGACAAAATTAAATAAATTACAAAGATCAAGGTCACAAATTAGAAGTTAAACTGAAATTAAACCTAGTTAAATTTAAGAATGGGGGCTGGTGTTAAAAATGCATGGAAAAGGGGCGCCTGGGTGGCTCAGTCGTTAAGCGTCTGCCTTCGGCTCAGGTCATGATCCCAGGGTCCTGGGATCGAGCCCCGCATCGGGCTCCCTGCTCAGCGGGAAGCCTGCTTCTCCCTCTCCCACTCCCCCTGCTTGTGTTCCCCCTCTCGCTCTCTCTCTCTGTCAAATAAATAAATAAAATCTTTAAAAAAAAATGCATGGAAAAAATGCATGGATTTACCTGCCTGCTGCATTTTCCATCCTTCCTATTTCCTTTTCAATATCTGGAGCAATCACATTGGGAACGTTTACAAAAGAGTACCATGTATTGATAATATGTTTCTTCATGGTTAGTTTAATATCTGGGGAGAAAAAAAGCTTATTAGTAAAAAGACTTTATATATTTATGTATATAATCAAAAGTTTCACTCTACCATTCATCTAAGGCTGTCATAATGCTTTTATGTGGGAATTATTCTTTAATAGAATACAGATGTGGCCTAAACCCTTAATTACCACTAGCTAGTTTTTTGTGTATTTTTTTTAAATTCAAGAATATACCAGAGGTGCAAAAAAAAAAATTTTTTTTTAAATTTTGGATTTACCCCAGCTTTAAAATATTCAGGCAATGTAGGCATAAAACAAAACTATAGGGACCTCGCATACACATCAAACAAGTAACAATAAAAAGTAGTAAAATAAAATACCAAGACGAATGTAATCTGCTGTGAATGTCTACCAGCATTCAAAAAAAGGGGGGGGAGGGGGTTGGATTCTTGAGCGATATTCAAACTTTGGAGTGAAAAAGGTTGCGACTGATCCACATTTTTAGCAAGTCCCCTAAATTACTCTGATACATATCATGCTCGGCTTCCCGTGCTACCATTTCAGGCGTCAGGAGAATGCCAAGAACCAAGAGATCCTGAATTCCCTCAGGTATGTCCGATCCCGCGTGGGGTCGAGCCCAACTTCTCGCTCTTGGAGAGGCGCGCGCACCGCTCCTCGCCTTCCCGGTGAGACTCTGCCCGGACCCCGAGACCACGCGACTGCGCTCGGGCCCCGACTCACGTTCACCCCCTGGTCTCGGGTGTGTTGCAGCCCCGTCGCCGGGAACTTGGAGAAGTTCCTGGTGGACAAGAACGGTGTGCGACCATTGGCCTCAGAAGCCCTGCTGTCCCATGGGGCCCAGCTGTGCCTAGGGCGCCTCTCCTACCCCCGCTTGCTTGACAGTCACAGCGCTGCCCTCTGGGGAATTCATCCCTGATGGTGTTTCCTCCAGATGTGCATGGAGGAACGCCTGAGGCCCAGGAAAATCCCTCGAAATGGACACTGAGTGTGCATCCCAGGCTCCCCTCTTCCGAACAAGGTTCCTCACTCTCTTAAAGTGTCAGGTGTCAGCAGGAAAAAAAGAAAAATCAGTGTCTAGTCAGGGGCTCCAAGAACAGTGCCACTGTTTACCAGCTCTTGTACTGAAGGTGCATGCCGTGGTCTGCTGGTGAAGGCACAAAAAGGGCCGACGTCAACACCTCCCATACCTCCGCCTTATCCTTCCTGGACAGCTGGTCATCTATCCATTACCACCACACACACCTACACACACACACACACACACACACACCACGCACCTGGCCTGCCCTCCAGGTTTTTATTATATGGCTTGGGGATTTTTCCTTTGTTATTTTTCGACCATGATTTCTGGATTTGGGCAACAAACTTGACTTTGTTATTAATAAGCAAAAACCAAAAAAGAGAGAGAGAAAAGCAATCATTGGATGTGGAGAAATGCATAAAAGACACTTCATTCTTTATAGTAAAATACGTTAAAGAATGACTTGCTTTTCATAAAAAGTTAAATCTTCAAGTGAGGATAGCAGTCAATGATGCTCTATATTTTACTTTAGTATTCAAACGATGAAAATAACTAGCAGCCGGTAGTCGAAAAATAAATGGAGAATTTTTGTGATATTAATGAAATGTATATATATTTTAAAATATAATTAAATTTGACTAAGAAACAGCACTTTTTAGGAAGAAAATTATTTCATTGACTCCTTTTCAGCATCAGAATGGATGTGACTAATCTGGTTATATTTACAGCATGTGGACTTCTTATTGGCATCAGTGAACACTCTCTCTGAGAGACTTCATGCCCCATGACAGGGAAAGGGAGAATATATGCTTGTTTCATCCATCACAAAATAGAAAAATTTATGTGAGTTAAAGGTTAAACAAGGACATAAAATATCCAATATGTCAGAACAAACCAAGCCTGGACCTTGCTTGTACCTAAAGAAAAAAAGAATCCGTTCCCTTATCCTATAACTTCTTGGCCTAAGGCTTCTATATAGGAAAAAACATTTGTTTTTAATTGCACAATTACATTTTTAATACATATATCATATTTAATATATATATCACTCTAATGACACATATTTCACTCTAGGAAAGAAAGGAGAAAATATAAATAGAAAAATAAAGATACTCAAAATTCCACTCCAGACCTTATAATTATTTATCACCATATTTTCCCAAATGCTTTTATGGTTTCCTTTTTCACATTAAAAATTTTAATCTACCTCCAACTTATTTTGGTGTAAGGTGTGATATAGAGATTTAACTTTATATTTTCTAAATGGCTAGCCAGTATTCTAAAATGGCACTTAATAATCAATAGTCCATCTTTTCCCTACTGATTTGAAATGTCATCATCCTAAACTTGCTTGTCAACCATAGAGATTTTGATAAAGATTTTATTTATTTATTTATTTATTTATTTATTTATTTATTTATTTATTTGAGAGAGGGAGCACAAGCCGGGCTGGGCCGCGGGGGGGGGGGGTTGCGGAGCAGAGGGAGAGGGGGAAGCAGACTCCCCGCTGAGCAGGGCCCCGACTCAGGGCTTGATCCCAAGGATCAGCAAAATGATTGGGAAAATCTTATGGACAGTTCAGGCAAAATTAATTTGGAACATGAACTATGAATGCCCAGGAAGCTGTCCATTCTATTGTTTGACATCAGGCTCTAATAGGGGTTCAAATCCTGATTCTACCACTTACTAGTTGAATGAACTCAAGTGAGTTTTTTGAACCTTACTGAACCTCAATTTTAACATCTATACAGATTAATAGTATCTCTTTTGTATCAAATAGCAGAAAAGATACGCTGCATACCCTCCATTGCAAATCCACACATGCAAACATAATTAACTGTGCGTCCATGGTTCTCTGAATGTAGTAGGAATGATACCTATGAAACTTGTTTAAAACGCAGGTATCAGGGGCGCCTGGGTGGCTCAGTCGTTAAGCGTCTGCCTTCAGCTCGGGTCATGATCCCAGGGTCCTGGGATCGAGCCCCGCATCGGGCTCCCTGCTCAGTGGGAGACCTGCTTCTCCCTCTCCCACTCCCCCTGCTTGTGTTCCCTCTCTCGCTGTGTCTCTCTCTGTCAAATAAATAAGTAAAATCTTTAAAAAATAAATAAAATCAAACCAAATGCCGATATCAGGGTCCTGCTCTCAGAGTATGAATGAAGTACGACTTTGGGCAGGTGAATCTACAATTTTATCAAGCACCGTAAGTAATTCTGTTTCAAATGATTCCTGAATCACACTTAAAGAAATAGGACTTTATGCTAGGGGCCCCTGGTGCACTACCCCAGCCCCATCTGTAATGCCGGGTAGAGCAGTGGGAGAGAGGAAATAACGGTCAGGAAAGGCTTGAAGGGTGCTGTTACCTCTCTGACATTTCAGATCTACAAATCTGAAACCTTTAGAATCAATTCCCGAAGACAAAATCCGCAAACAACTACTATAACAAAAAGTCAATTTCATAACTTAAGAAATATAGACTTTAATTTGAAAAACAGTCTATAAAATTCACTATATTAATAGAAAAAAGATGAGAAGAATCATATGATAATTTCAACAGATAAAGAAAAGGTACTTGACAAAATTCAACACCTATTCATAATACAAAACCTTAGCAAATTAAGAACTGAAAGAAACTTCCTCAACCCAATAAAAAACATGTACAATAAACCTGTAGCTAGCATCATACTTAATAATGAAAGGCTGAACATGTTCCCCCTAAAGTCAAGAACAAGGCAAGGATATTTTAGAAGTATTCAACATTGTCCTAGCTCTCTTGCAATAAGCCCCCAAAATATTTTAAAATAAAGAATAAAAATCATCCATATTGTGAAGAAATAAAATTATCTTTATTTGCAGATGACATGATAGTGTATTAGACAATCCTAAAGAACCTACAAAAAAATTAGAACAAATAAGTAAACTTGGGAAGGTCTCAGGACAAAAATCAATGTAAAAAATGTATTTTCCTTCTGTATGTTAGCAATGAATAATTAGAAAATGAAAATGTACATAGCAAGCAATTAATGTCTATGTCCATTTCGATGAATGAATCTTATTTACAAAATTCTCTGCCAGATGCTGTAAGAAAGAAGCCCAAAGATGAGTATGGCCTGAAACGGCTTACAACTAGTAGCAGAGAAGAAGACAAGAGCACCGCACTAAACACATGGTTTGGGCCCACGAAGGGAACTAAAGTAAATATTTATAATTGTCGATAATCTCTTCAATTTCCAAGATTATTTCTTCTTTGTTTCAAAATTAGCAGACATTTTAATAGTATATTATAAGAAAAGAATGATAGCTGGAATATTTCTTAAACTCTAGGAGGGTTTTTAAACTCCATTTTTTAAACTCTGGGGGGGGAGTTAAAAAATAAAAAAAAATCCCTTGCAGCTAAATTATGAAGAGTTTCGTGAGGAAGATGGCACAGTACAGAAGCATGGTCTACAATCAGGGTCCAAGCAGAAAAATGGTGAAATCAGATGGTTCAATAGAGAGAAATAATATCAAAGGCATTGGAAAACCTACACAGGGAAACTGAGAAAACCCAGAGATGAGTGGTAACAGGGCCCTGCTCCCTGTCCTAGAGCAGGAGGAATGCAGGGAAGAGGGAGATGATTAGAGCCTAAAGCCAGGGCTTCCAGGCTGGAAGACAGAACCACTGTGGGAGATGCCCCCAGAGGCAAAGACTGAGTGGGAGAAGTGACTTCACCTCTGACTTCACCCCTCCTTTGCCCTCCATCTTCCACAAGTGCCTCCCAACAGCTGAATCCAAACAAAGCAGTGGAGCCTGGAAACGTAGGTTGCAGGGAAGAGGAGGCAAGGATCCAAGCTCAAATGGAAATGAGTGCATGAGCAGGTTGGATTGAACAAGTGGAAGTGGGCTGGTAAAAAGACCTTTCTTTCTGGGTAAAGGGAAATTCGTGAGCAAAGTCAGAAGGGTAGGAAAGATGCTGTCAGGAGAATATAGATTCATCTAGTTTAACTAGAGGACA